TCATATCAATGTTTATGGAAGTTTTAAATTCAAAAGAGAGAGAAAAAAGAAGGAGCAGCACAATAGTTGAAGCATTTTAGAATTTATTACTATAGAAGAACAAGCACCTGCTTTTTTTCCTCCTTTTTTTTTACAAAAGAAGCACAGGGTGTATGTGTATGTGAAATCAGAGTTTATTTTTTAACATCAGACACTATTTCTGGAATTGAGGGGGAGGGAGAAAGGGAGGAAGGAAGGAAGGAAGGAAGGAAGGAAGGAAGGAAGGAAGGAAGGAAGAAGTGGAGGAGAAGGAGGAATAGGGGTACAATAGGAAAAGGGAAGAGGAAGGAGAGGAGAGGGAGGAGGGAGCAAGGTAGAAGAGAGAGAGAGAGAGAGAGAGAGAGAGAGAGAGAGAGAGAGAGAGATCATTATTATTTTAGATGCTCTAATGCTGAGCTCATCTTCTGAGCAATTACAAACCTCTTAGTTGCTTAGGAGCAGTTCTTCTGCTCTGCTCTCTTCCTCTTGCCCACATTTCTCTGCTTGTTTTAGTTTATGTGCTATAACTATTCTAGTTTTCATGTTTCAAATTTAATATCAGAACAGATCTGGTTGTACATACCCATGAATGCACATGAGCACATTTTACTGGTTGATGCATGAACATTGAAAACTATACTGTAATGCCAAAGAAATTTTAGCTTTTCAGTTTTTATAACACCCTTAATTTAACCTACCTTCTCATCTACTCCTAACCCTGACTTACTGTGCTTTCTTGCAAACCTGGAAAATTTTTGGTTTTCATTTCAAAAATAATATTTATGTGTGCTCTGCTAGGTTCCCCTCACCCCCCAAAAAATAAAAACATAAAATGGGGCACTGGCTCAGCACAGAGGAGGAATGGGAACACCGTTTATTTGTTGAAACATACTATTTTGCCTTTCATTTCAGTCCATAAGACCAAGAAGTAAAAGTCTGTTGTGGTTCTATTCATTTTTTTCTAAACACTTAGTTTGACTTTGAGATAGAGAAGAATATGCTGTCAGTCTAAAAGTAACTTTCTTTCTCTGACTCTCTCTTATGATACTTTCATGATGAAAATTATAGGTCAAAAATTGCAGGTGAGTGAGAGCAAAGAAGAGAAAATCACCACTGCCAACAGAGCAGTATTAAATCATGACTGGTAAATGTGCTTAATGAACTATGTCATCTACTAGTCTCATACAAATTCAGTGTAGTTATATCTATTGCAAATACCTGAATATAACCATAAGAAATTATGCTAGTAAATTTGTGATCACATTTCTAGAGGGAAAAGTATTTCTTAGCTTCCACAGGTGCAAATGAGTAGTATTTTCCCTTACCCATACCCTTGAAAAGGAACATAGATTATATTCCAAGATTTCATATTTTACAAAAGGTATAGCTACTGTATATACTCTATAGACTTTTTAAAATTTTATTTCAAAAAATGATTGAGCACAGTTGAAATGGCATATGTACAAGCTGAAAAATCCATTTAGTGTTCAGGCAATCTCATTAAGTGATGAAGAGTCTACTTAGCAGTTAATCTCCCCTTTCAAGTTGTCATTGAATAAAGAACTGGAATCATGCCATTAAAAGTCCATCAGAAAGAGTGTTAGGCTTAGTTACTCTAAAACACACTGAACAAGTCCCCAGTCAAGAGACCCCAAAATAGCTTTTCTTAATGCTCTATTTTTCCTTTTAACATTATGTGGTATTAAAAGAGAATCTCTCATGGAGAGGTGAACATAGATAAGATAAGAACATCAAAAGATCAAATTTTTGAAGCTAGATGATGGATGAATGGGGGGTTGTTATACTAGTCCCTTTACTTTTGAGAATATTTGAAAACTAGAGGCCCGGTGCACAAATTTGTGCACCAGTTGGGTCCCTCAGCCTGACCTGTGGAATCAGGCTGAAACCAGCTCTCTGACATCCCCCTAGGGGTCCCCGATTGCAAGAGGGCACAGGCCAGGCCTAGGGACCCCACCAATGTGTGATCAAGGCCGGGGAAAGACGCGGGAGAATGGTCAGCTGGGGAGGGGCCGCGGTAGGGCTGTAGGGTTTGTCTGGCCCATCTTGCTCAGTCCCAATCAACCAGACACCAGCAGCAAGCTAACCTACCAGTCAGAGCATCTGCCCCCTGGCGGTCAGTGCACATCATAGCGAGTGGTTGAACGGCCTTAGCATATCATTAGCTTATTACACTTTGAGTGGTTGAACGGCCAACAAGTCAACCAGACACTTAGCATATTAAGCTTTTATTATATAGGATGTTCACAATAAAAAAATCATAAAAAACAAATTCATATGATTTCACTTACATGTGGAATCTAATGAATGAAATAAACAAACAAAATAGAAACAGACTCATATATACAGAAAAAAGACTGACAGTATCAGAGGAGAGGGGGGCTGGAGGGCTGGGTTTACCTAATATGAAATCTCATCTTTGAAACTTTCCCTTAAGTAATTTCTTTTGAACTTCTAAGAACTTAGTTTGTACTTTTTTGACATCTTATTTATATTTTAGTATCATTATTTGTGCACTCTTAATAGATTATAGACTTGTTAAGGCTCTCAATCTAAGATATAGTAATCATTTAATAATGTCTAATAAGTACATTAATAATCAAACTGATATCAAATAGTAGCATCAAGATTTTATTTCAATTGGGATAACATAGGGTTTAGAATTTTCAGAGAAAGATCAAACTTCAATTTGAATATGGGTGCAGAGAATCTGGGCCTCTATGAATCTATACAAGAGAGAAAAAGGCTTAAAACCCCCATACCCATTTTCTGTCTTCATTGAAATAAAGTAACAATAGCCAATGGTAGATTGTCTGGCACACACAATCTGGTTCAGTAAACTTTGAATTATCAAATGAATGAATGCTTAGAGTGGTTCTTGGATTATATCTTAAATAGAGATATTTAGAATGTTCATGGAGGGAAGGCAAATACAGAATTTTGATGGGGTACCTAAGGCAATGATAACTCTGTGATTTGGTAAGCATAGAAGACTGTCCTTTGAGGCACAGAATAGTTTACCATTTGAACCTTTCTTGTGGTCCCTATTCTCAAAAAGTTGATTGAAGTAAATGATTTTACAGGGATATGTACATTTCTAGTAGAATATTCAAGGAAAGTTCAAAGAATCAATAATGAATGTGATTTCAACTGAACAGGAATAAAAACAATTATGATTTTAGGGTATAGAAGTACAATGATTGTCCTTGGGCTCTCCAATACACTCTTATTACGAATTGTGGATTAATTTTTCTAGTATAATAACAGATGAGTAAGGACAATTTAGCCATCATTGTTTGAAGGCTATGGGCCAACCACTGAGCTTATATCCAGGCACTTATATTCACATAGGCTTATTTAATGATAGCACAGCACAAAGAGGAGAACACTATCATTCCAATTTTGTGGACAAACCTAAGGTCACTTCACACTTCACTTAAGGTTTAATTGCTAGTAAAGGACAGATCCAGGATTTAGAGCCACAGTTTGAACTAAGCTTCTCTGAACCCAAAGCCCATGGCCAAAGTTAAACACATTGGAAAAGAATGGTATACCTCAACACTTTCTTCATGGAAAGACAATGACAAGTTATTTCTGTTGATGGACTTTCACCAATGTATCTGAGCAAACACTACTTAGATCTTGATGAAACTACAATATTGACAATCATCTGGAAATTTATCTAAGTTTATTATCCTAACCTCTGGCCACTTGTTTAAAATGTGCTGCCAGTCAGATTTATGCTACCAAATATCAATGACACATACTTATTGGTTGCAATTATGCTTGCAATCAAAGTATGTGACTCGAAAAAGACTAGCTGTATCCATTATAGCTAGTAAACCCTAGTCATGATTTTGCAACTTTGCTTGATAACTATTAAATAAATCATTTTATTATAGAATTTAGTGTAGAATTTCTCATTCTAGAAGTCATCTGTTGTATAGAGAATAGCATAGCACTCAAAGTGAAGGTGACTAACTTTGTGAACCTCTACACTGCCTCAATCACAATTAAAACTCTTTATATTATTTCATTTCCCTACCAAACTACAATGAAAGGCAAAGTCATTGAGGTGTCACATTTTTCAGGTGAGGAAGCCAAATCTCAGAGATTGTGAATTTTGCCTATAAATAGTAAGTAGTCCAGATGGGGTTCCAACCCAACTCTGTCTGGCCTCAGTGCTTATGCCCTCTCCATGACATCTCACTGACCTCCATGTCAGCAAGGCCTGACTTCTAACGTGATTAGAAATGTATTAGCCAAGTTGTCATTATGCTCTTTGTGTCTTTGTTTTCTCATCTTTAAGATGAAAAAATACTAGCTAACACTCAGGGGTGAAACATAAAACACAGATTCAAAACAAGACAGTACCTATCACAACATGGGCATTAATAAATGATTGCTTTACTTTACATCAATTATTTGAGACAGAAACCATAAAAGGAACTTTCCATAATTTGACATCATTCAGCCTAATTTTCTTTCCATCCCCAGATACTCAACAGCATTTTATTCAATTAATAAAATGTAAAGTAAAAGAAGTATAATATTTGTTTTTAACTCTAACTCTTTGAAAACTGTTAACCAATGTATGGATAGAATACAACTGTTCAGTTAACCCACATTTCTGGACCATGGTGAAAATGCAGGTGTCATGATGGATTATCCAATTGGGAGAATATGCATGTGCTTAGGAAACCAGCAAATGGAGTATACCTGAGATATGAGATAGGTTCCATCTACAATGAATGTTTGCAAAATTTTATAATCTTAAAATCTAGAAAATAAAAGCTGTTAAAATTTAAGCACTTAAATTTTGGTTTTGGATTTAGTCATTTAAAAAATTTTTCAATATGGCTGGATGCTTAGAAAGAAGGCATCTAAAACTTTCTAGTAAGACACTACCTGAATATGCTTCTGAAAAACCTTGCAAATTTTGTTGATAAATTTACCAAACACTTCAAAAACATAGTATCCAGTAATATTTTCCAGAATGGAATGCTTTTGTCATCTTACCTGTTCAGAAAAGTGTTTTCTTTACTGTTGACTCTACCAAAGAAATCTAAATAATGCTTTGGTTGACAGACAATAATTGTTAAGCCCATAAATATGCCACTTTTGACATGTTTATATAAGTATCTGTATAGAATCTTTTATTTCACATGAAAGTAGTCTTAGCTTACTTTCAATAAGATATGACATGTTTATCTTCAGTGTAAGATCTTAAACTAAATGTTGAGAAAATAAGAATGCATCATCATACAAGATTTTGGGAAGAACATTTTATTGCTAAGCATATCCTTGAACAAAAATGCAAATATGAAATAAAAGAGAAAAGGAAAAAGGAAAAGCGGTAACATCACAACATCATAAATAAATTCCGTAAAAGTCTGCTCATAAAACAACAGGAATATGATAGAAGCTCACATACAGAATGCACATGTTCCCATAAAATTGTCCAAATAGAACTTACACTGAAAGGAATATAACAAATGTATTTTTACTCAAATTTTTAAAAAAATGTAAAGAAAGAAATCAGAAAATCAATTCACAAGACCTCAAGACTCCAAGAACAGCAATCTTTTAAAGACATCAAGATATAATCAACTTTATATAGGTTGGGCCATTTAGGCTATCTAAATTCGTGCTTTGATATCTCTTTATAATCCTGTCTTTCTTAATGACAAAAAAAAATTCAAAACTCTTAACACATTGAAATATCAGATAATGAGGAACACTTCTTTCCATACACATTAGTAAAGGCTACCATTGTTTAGATTGCACTTTTGCCCCATATCTTTAAGGTATTTTTTCAAATCAAATATTCATGCAACTTACAAAGACCAGCAAGAGTAGATTTCTAAATCTAAACAGCTGATTGATTTTCATCTGTACAAAAGAAATTGTATATACCTGACCCTCCAGAGGACACACTTAATTTTTGTGTGAATATTTGTCTTGCTTTGTCTCTTGCTTTTTGGATAGCTATGGCCACACAACCAATTTATTGTTTTTCTGTACATTGTTTCCTCTTTTCAAAAAGAAAGAAAGACAACCAGAATATAAACCAAACAACTGAAATAAACAAATAGAAAGGAAGGAACAATTCTTAAAGCAGTATGTACATAGGTGGCTAAGGAATTATACCAGCAAAAATGTAGTAAAATATGTAAACAAAATCTGAGAAGATTTTATTTTTTAATTCTCTTTGACACAGTTAACTGTGACAAAACTAAAACTCACACTTGCTTCACATTTTAAGGTTTACTTTTTTGTTGTTTTGTCATTTTCTTTTAAAACAACATTCTCATTCCACTTCAAGACTTTAACAGGTGTCCTGTCTCAGTCATCCCATCAAACATACCATGATAAATATATCTGTATATATATTTATTTATATATATATTATACTATTAAATTCCTTTTTGTGTGTGTCACAGCAGCTTTATTCATTTATTATTTATTCGTTTAGTTTTAGAAAAGATGGGTGAAGGGAGACATGAGCAAATGGAAGGATAGAGTTATCCGTAAGTGCCAGACTACAAAATTAAACCACGATGAGAAAACATATTCACGTTGGGGGTGGGGGAAGAACTATGCATTTTGCACTCTCTTCATGCCATGTTTGGCTTGTGTGACCTTTTGTGGGTTCCATCACAAGTTGAACTGCCCTATGGTCTGTTTTGATTATTGAACAGCCTTTTAGTATTGTCTTTTCTTCTATATTTGCATGCATTTCTATCAGTCATGGATCCAAGCCACCCCCTCCCTTCCCTTTCTCTGGGAAAGGCTCTGTTTTCATTTGGAGGGCTTTCTCCTTTACCACAATTTGGCTGGGCTAATGGACAGGAACACTGTTGTTAAGTAAACCCAATAGCTCTGATAAAACCAGCCCTAACCCAGTCGGTTCAGGGTTTGGGTGGCGAATTCTGGAATTAGATCCTGAGGGACCAGCTTTTCAAATCAACATTATCATCCATCACATGATTTTGCTATGTGTTCGTATAGGAAACAAACAACAGATTCTAAAAACACCACAACCTGATATGTAGCGTGAACACCATGGTAGCGTTTGAGTTCATATGGCAATAGTCTCTCCCACTTTAGTTTTCTGAGTGTTTTTTTTTCTTCTTCTTAACGTATGTCCAGTCATCCTCAAAAAATAAACAAAAACCCAAAAGCCATTTTTTCCCCTCAGATCTTGAAGAAAAGTTACACACACTGGCCAGAACCAGATAAGGGTGGGTTGTTTTTTTTTGTTTGTTTGTTTAACTTTTTTCTGTTTTTGTTTTTTACATAATTAAACAACAAAAAAATTATTACAGTCAAGCTTCACAAACATTGTTACAGACTCACTTGGAGTTATGGAACAAGTAAGCCATGAGTCTCTACCTTGAGTGCAAGGTCCTCAAGAGAAGGAAGCTCCCAAGTCCAGGTGAGAGAAGGGGAGCCCCCTGCTGGCTGCAGAGCGCAAAGTGTGTGCTTTATGATACAGCAGGGCAGCAAGGACCTTCTGTCTCCGGGCGATGACTGATCAAAGCCATGGCTGAACTGTGTATAGGTCGATACATCTTGGTGTGTGTGTCCTTTTAGAAACGGTTTTTTTCCCACCATAGACATGGTATAGACCCCATCTCCTAGGTAGAGCAGTTCTGACATCTGCAAAAAAAAATCTCATTTTCCAAGGATGTATGCACTGATAAAGCAATCCTTCTGGGTTCTTTAAATGCGGGTCTTGTGAGCGGCCGTGTGGTTACACGTAGTACTCCTTGTCCTTGTTTTTCTGTTTCTTGTGGCCGCTCTTGGAGCTCGGCTGCTTGTCCTTGAGCAGCGTACCGTTGCTCTGGGCCGAGTTGCTGATGTAGTTCCGCGTCTCGTCCACTTGGTAGGACCCCTCGTCCCTGTTCCTGTACTTGTACATGGCGTACAGGAGGATCAAGATGCAGAGGGCGGCAGCAGCCACAATGCCGACGACCATCCCTGTTGTACTGCTCGACTCCCGGATCACCTCTGAGGCCCCCGGAACCCGTCTGACTCCCGGCTCCGTGGGGTTTGCTGTGGGCACATTACGGAACATGGGGGAAGTAATTAGTGGGCTCTTCAGTTTGGTGCTGTCTAGCTCATAGGCAGTGGGCAACGGAAGCAAGACTAGGTCAGGCTGGGGTTTGAGATCACGGTTATTCATTTTGCCAGCTGGCAATTTGGGCACCATCCCAGACGAGGAGGAAGCGGTGAAGCGGATCAGCTCAGGGGACAATGATGTGGTAGTAGTCCTACTAGTTTCGGAGGCTTTGTTAGGTTTAAAGTCCTTGGCTTCCCACTTGGGCGCATGTGCTTTGTAGCCACCTTCGAAGATTGAAGTGGAAAGACTCTTATCTGTTACCAAGGAGAAGGTGGTGTAAAAATCTTCATCATCAGTAGGGGGCAGGTTAGAGTCAAAGGTTTCCCCTGAGCCATACCCAGATATCACCAAGCCATCATCATCACAACCATCGCTGCCTTGGTCCGACAAGCAAGGTAACCCCGCCTCAGAGGTCATGGACAGGGAATCTTTGGTGGTCTCAATAATGGTGAGGAGGGGGCGGAAGGTAGGGGGGAGTGTAATGGAAGGTGCACGAGTAGCAATAGGAAGGGTAGCTAAAGGGTCTTCTACAAGAAGAGGGATAACTAATTCACCTCCTGGGATTGAAAAGAAAAAGAAACACAGAATTAGCATATTTGTAAGTAAATACGGTTCAGTCACTCTCAATGAATGGAGTTCATAGGTTATGCCTCAGAAATGACAATAAAATCACCTGATGGTAGCCTAACCATTCTAAGCTGATTTCCAGCCCATTATTTGCCTCTTGCCACCAGAACCTGAAATCTACAGATTCGGGCAGGGGTGTAGATTTTAAAGATACTCTCAAGTAATTATTTAGCTAGAACTCAAATAGGCTTGTTTCCAGGATTTGCTTATGGGATGATGACATTCAATTACACTGTTGCCAGTACTGATTGGCTATTGTGTGTGTGTGTGTGTGTGTGTGTGTGTAGATAATTGTGAACTGTGTTTAACATTACTTTATCGCCTTCTGGGGTTTCTACTTATTTGCTCCCATGAGGATGAGAATATTTTCCATGTCACAGAGACCAAGATCAAAGACCAAAAAATACTTTGTCCTTAGTATTGTGAAGGACTACCTTTCATTTCACATTTATCAATAAGTGCAGTCTTCATTTACTATCTGCTAAATAAGGGCACATTATAAGAGGTTAAAAATGCTCATCTAGCCAATGAAAATGATATGTTTTTCCAGAAATTCCTCTGACTATTAAATGACCACCCACCTTGCCTTGGTCTAAAATTATGTTAATGTATTGCTTTTGTGCTAGATGCAAAATATCCTGAACTGGATGCTACATTTTAAAAATAACCAGCCTAGACAGCTGTGAATTACTGGAAACGTACTCTTAGATTCTGAAACATAGAGATAGCAAAGTGAGTTTTGAAAAATCCGAATGGCAAAAATTTATTAGTTTACCCAGAGTTCCTACTTACTGTATTTAGAAACATGTGGACTGGGCCAGGAAAGAAAGTTAAGATAGTATACTAAATCCTAGTGCCTTGCAGATCATGGGTACCACAAATATTCCATGGTGAATGTTACTAACCTAACTGCAGAAGCAAGCTTATTATTCATGTATGTGAGAAAGATCAAGTTATTTTTCAAAGAGAGAAATAATCTCCAGAAGTTATAGTTCATTAAGTTTTGTGCAAAATATTTATTCCAACTATTGCTTTTAAAAATCCTCTAGCAAGGATGGCATGATGTTCCCCGTCCCAGTTAGTCCGTCCGTTGAGATGCTGATACAATATCATTGAACCTCTTTCTGACCTGGGTCACTAAGCTCTCAACCAGGTACAGTGTTTTGTGTTCTGCTCTCAGTAGTAATTTTGCCCTGATGGAATGGTTGGTGTTTAAATATCTGTTACCAGATATGACTTTGCTGAGGTCTCTCTATTGGTGACAAACCCAGACACGTGGCTCAATACTGTCACGTGGGACATTCCAGGTGGACAGTCTTCCCAGGTAATTCTTATAAAGACTGACTCACAAATTATAACTCTCTGCTCTGCTTTCCACACCTTATGTCTTTAATCATTTCTTGTGCCTCCATGGAAACTGCTGCATATAAAGTGTCCAGGTTTCAGATGTGCAGGGTCTCTTGAGAAGAAACCTAATGCATACATTCCTAGCATCTGAGAAGAATTGCTTGCACCTACATCAAAAGCTTTTCCTCCCTTCCTATTTTGCCAATTGCACTGTGTTGCACAGAGAAGAATCGAGTTGAGGAGGGTAGCAATAATGGAAATAACATGTATCATTTGGAAGACAAGGGACAATAGGGCATTGTGCAATCATCTCTGTTACCATGTATGGGGAAATAAAAAACGGACCTTTCTGAGAATCTCAAAATGATATTTTGGTCTGATCTCTACACCCAGGCTTCTCTTCTGGTGTTTGGAGTTGGAAACTATTGAGCAAAATGATCTTTGTGGTTTCACCAAAGTTTCAGACTTGCTTTGCTGGACCAGCACACCTAATTTTTACATTGTGAACATATATAATTCATATACCTTGCAACTTATTTAATACATAATTTACACACTTTCGCTAGTTTTTATAAATGGGATTTGGAGCATGTTTCCTAAAGGTAATCCAGACATAAAACTAATCCTGGGCTCACTTTTCTCCTATTCTTCTAGTACGGGGTCCCAAGAGTTATAGTTAAGGTGATACACGGGAAAAGGCAGTGTTTGAATAAAAGAAGAGCAGTGTGGAGGGAGAAGAGGAGGCCCATGCTCTCTGTTTAAAGGTTCCCTAGAGGTTACTCAGGGGTGATGTTACTTTCCTTCAGGGAACAAGGTAGTTCTTACGCATCTCACCTAGAACAAAGGATTAGCATGCGTGTTCTCTTCAGGCACAAACACTGAGAGTCATTTGTTTCTTAAGGCAGTGATAAAAATCTGCCTCATGTGTATTGAGCACAGAGGAAACTGGGGTAAAAAACAAGGAATAACTGATTTGTTTGGAGGCAAAGGCCTGGTGCACATAATTTTAACATAAAGACAAATAGTTAAGGAGGATGCCAGTGTCCCTGTGAGATTAAGATCACTGTCTTCATGATTGCAGAGTGGCATTCATTTGCAATTTTAGTGTACCATCTGTGACTCCCAACTGGAGTCTTAAATTTGCCTTTTTTACCCCCACTTCAATCTTAGCTAAAGCTTCCATAGTGTTTCTGTTGTTAAAAAAAAAATCTACAAAATCTACAACTGCTCACTCTGCAGTTGAATCACTGCCACTCTCCTTTGCTATTCCCTGCTCATTCAACACCTTAATGCAAATATCTCTCTTGGATTACAAAATAGTCATAATAATACTGTAGAAACTGAATACCATCCTTTTCAGAATGGAATGGAAAGAGGGTTCTGAAGCTCACTAATTTATAAGGAGCTTCTAAAAAGTCAGTGAGTCCCCTAAGTAAATGATAAGAGCTTATTTCAAAACTAAAATAATGGGTATGATATTGCAGAGTTTAAATAACAGAAGCTGGCAAAATTACTAATCTTCAGTGTTCTTTGTCATTTTTTTAATCCCAGAGAAAAATGATAAATGATGCCCAGTGTCAAGGAAATGTGAGCCCCAATTCCTGTAGTATTTAATCAGTGAAATGGTAGAAGCTTTCATAACCCACTTTCCTGGCATCTCAAAGAATTGGAAAAGTGTCTTTAGTTCAAAAGGAAGTCAGCTGGGTTGTGTGTGGGGGGTGTCATTATTACAAATGGGAATTATAGTGAAAATAGGTGGAAAGTTTAGATAACTGTAAACATGGAAGGTGCCTGGGACAGGTGTATGAGTTGGGGTGCATAATCAATTGTAATATTAAATTCCACCTTTAAGAGTTAAGATGATTATAGTATCCTGGGGGTCTGTGGACACACACAATTTGAGATGAGAAGTTGAGGGACATATTTCTCCCATTATTAGATCCTCAATAGAAATGACTTAGATTCTGGAAGCCTATTTAAGTCTTTATGTTTGTCTTAATCCAAAGTGACTATACTCAGGAATGTTGGAGCAGCTGCTAATATTCTTGTTTCACTGCCCAAAGATTATGGAGTCAGTGATCTACCAGATGTCTATGCTTATAAAAGTATTCACAGATGCAGCAAGCCTAAAATCATGAGGGGTTACAGGCAGAGTGATACAAAACCTATAATCCACCAAAACTCTAATTTCCCATTCCATCTCCAGAATTTTTCTTCAGTTTGGAATAATATTTGTATCCCTTAAAGTTATCATTTTAAATCAGGAATATATACCCTTTCTTGACAGGGCTGTGTTTTTCTTTAAACTAGAGAGATCACTAGGGATATAAAAGGTCTATTTTAGCCCCGAAGGCTGCCCTGTTTTTTTGCTTTATGAGTATATTTATAGATATATAATTCATGTGTCTAGGGCTGATATCCAGCAAATGGGGCTCTCTGCCATTGAAAAAGACAGTGGATTAAAAATTTAATAGAACCCTTGTGAACTGTGAGAATGTTGTAGGTGATGGTGAATGTAGTGGGTCATCTATAAAGACAAGAAGAGCAGCAGGAAGTTTCCATGGGGCTCCAACATTGCCTCTCTGGAGATATTTGAGTCTAAGAAGTCATAAAAACACAGAAACAAGGACACTGAAGAGCTAAACTCTGGGAGAGGACATCATGCTCCAATTCCGTGAGTTTCTTTTATGTATATTTAGGTTCTTTAGCTCATCTCTTATTTGTATTTTTCTGAATCTCTACTGGGAAGTTCACAGATAATGGGGAGAAATCATCCCTTTTCCACTAAATGAGTTGTTGGATGATATTCATTTTTGTTGGTGCCACAGAAGTGTGTACTTGCAGCACATAAATATCCAAAAGCTTGTAACCATAAATTTTTCTACATCCACCTTTAGAAAAAATAGCCATGGGAAAACATGGCAAATACCTAGGAGAGACACCAGAAAAAGCTCAAGTGTCTCAAAGAGGCTTAACATTTTAATGAGATGAGAATCTTTAGGTAGAACCTTTCCCCTCCACTACTTTGTCTGATTATATAAGGCTACAGATTCTATTTTTCAACATATGCCCAGGTAAGATGAGCCAAAGCCCCTTGATATCATTATCTATTGTAAAATAAGGAATGTCAAATGGAGTTTTTCATTTGCTTATTAATTAAGAGCTTTGTCTCCAAAGTCACCCAGACTCAAGTTAACAGCGCAGCTCTGCAGTTACTAGCCACACGAAATTGGGCAAATTGTGTAAATTCTCTGTGAAATGGGAATAACAACATAGCCTACCTCAAACCACAATTTGAATAATAATAATGCATGTTAATAATAACACATGTTAAAAATTTAGCACAGAGCTCATTGCTACTCAAAAATGCTAGTTACTAGTATCATTTCTACTAATATAAACACTGAAACTTTTGGTCATTTTTCCTATTTTTTAAAAAATATAGTAGCCTCATGCTAAGGTAGAAGTATGATGGGAGACCAAATTATTAAGGCTATTTTAAAAAAGAGTTTGAGGAATGATTTATGATAGCTCAAAGAGCTGTACTAAAAAAAAGATTAGCTTTTATTAAATTCTTACAGAT